CCCCATAGATCAAAGCTGTTAGCCAGTCAGGCTAGGGGGAGGCCTGCAAGATTACAGATCCCATCCTTGGCCACACAAGAAGGTGGGGGGGGGGGGGACACAGAAGCCTTCTTCCACATCAGGAGGCAGCTGAGGCAACGAAAGTAGAGGGTTATATCATCTGGTCCCATCTCCTCCTTCTATAACATAAGATGTTGGCTTGTTTGTATTGCATTGCATTGTTTTCTTTAATTTTGGAAAGTACACTCCAAAAAGTGGAAACAGCCAAGGGCATAAACTAAATTTGATCAAAGTAAAATTAATTAATTAAAATTAACCTCTATACTTTCTTCTATCCATGTATATATATGTTTTACAATAGTTGAATACTTTAAAACTACACTTCAGGGCACATGTGACACCTATATATATATACACACACACACACAATGTGATTTAAGTGTTTTATCACTAAAATTAGCTAAACTGTAAATCACATAAATTTAAAACAAATGAAAAGCAAGTTTAAAAAAGTTATTTTTATTTTTTAAATTTATTTTTATTTTATTTCTCTTCTTTTCTGTCCTCCCCTCCCCTCTTCTTTGCTTCCTTTTTTTAAAAAAATATTTATTTATTTATTTGTGTATTTATTATCTCCAGTTTACTGTCTTATAGATATGTACTGTATTTTCTAACTTGATACTGGACACTGGACAGTGTATGCTGTAGAAGTGAGGTGGAATGGGAAATATCTGAAGAAAAATAGATGATAGTTAGATATTGTTAGATAAAATGCCATCAAGAGCTCAGCTGTTGAACTTTTCATCTGAGTTCATATCTATCCACTTTGGATTACATGTATCAGGAACAAAGTCAAGCATAGATATGAACCAACATTAGTGATATAACACATGCTGATATAAGAAACACAGCTGGATTACAGAATTATGGAATTGGTTACAAAACTGCAGAATTGATTAAACAAACAATGGTAAACTTGAAATTTCATCTCAGTTCCTTATATGCCCATTCATAATTATGTGATTATGGGTCCACATAACAGTGGGTTCATATGGATAAGAATCCATATAAATATCCATATTTATTACCCCTATATATTTGTCATGCACATTTTATGTTATATAGATATTGCAAGAAAGTGTTCTCTAAAAAAAAAGAGCTATCAATCAAACAAAAAAATATATATTTGCATAATTAAAAATATTTATCTATGGTTTTCTTTTAATACATACATTATTAACACACTTCTTCACATACAAGGATGACAGAAAAACATAATTTAATTGAACCACATTTTACTAATTTTTATTGAGTTTTTGTTTTAATTTACAGCTGTTGCAGTTGATGTCTTGAGGATTATCTCTGAAACTGAAAGATCACACAAAAGACATAAACTTTAGCTCTAAATATCTTGATAGAGAGGAGTGCAGTCTCCTAAATAAAATAAGCTTGCAAAGTTAAAGCAATAAGTGGATTAAAGAGTTTTATTCCCTAGGACTGTTTTTTCTCTCTCTCTCTTTCATTAAAATACATAAATAGTTGATACATTTTATGTATCTTTAAAAAGACATAACTCCAGGCTGAGAAGCCTTGTAAGAGCAGCTTTAATATCCTTGTTTCTCATGCCATAGATTAATGGATTCAGCAATGGTGGAATTATGGAATACATCATTGTAATTATGAAATCAAGGTGTGAAGGACTTTCAGATGTGGGCCTCAAGTAAGCAAAGGCACCAGTAAACATAAATATCGAGAAGACAGTGAGGTGTGGTAAGCAAGTGGAGAAGGCCTTTCTTCCCCCTTGAACAGAAGGGATTCTCAGAACAGCAGAGAGGATCTGCACATAGGTCCCAGTGCTGAAGAAGAAGCAACCCAATGATAATATAGTACCAAACAGCATAATTCCAGATTCAGTTCCATATGAATCAGAGCAGGCTAACTTAAGTAACTGTGGGACTTCACAGTAGAACTGATTAATAATATTAGAGCAGAAATGAGTAAGAAAAGTCATGGTGGTGTGTAATATAGCAAGGAAAAGGCTGACAATCCACACACTGCCAATCATTTTGGTGCAGGCTTTTTTGTTCATTATCTTTTCATATTGCAAAGGATTACAAATGGCTACATATCGATCATATGCCATGACAGTAAGAAGGGGAATATCAGAGCCCAGGAAGAAGACGTACAACAGGATTTGTGCAACGCAACCAGAATAAGAAATATATCTGATATTCATAAGACAATTAAAAATAGCTTTGGGGATAATGACTGAAACTGAACCAATGTCTTGCATGGCTAAATTCATCAGGAAGAAGTACATGGGGGTATGAAGGTGGTGGTCAAAAACAACAGCAGAGATGATGAGAAGGTTCCCTGTTATGGTCATTAAATAAAGTATCAAGAATAAAACTACATACATCATCTGTAGCTCCCAAATCTTTGAGAATTCCAAGAGAAGAAACACTGATGTGTCATTATCCATTTTGAAACTAT